AAAAAAGGAAGAGTAGGAAGGCTCCGCAGTCGACAAATATCCTGAAGCCTCGTGATATTGTCAATACGACCCCGCCTAGAAGTTTCCTGTTCTGGTACGAGCTCCTCCCCATCCTGAATTTTCCTACTTCCTACCAAACCTACCACTTTTCCCCAATTTACAAAAATCTTTTGCGTCTTTCCCAAAACTGCCTTCAAGCGGGTGAGGGGAGGGGGGGGGGGGGAGGTGAGAATGTTGCCACTAAGTTCAACTGTTAGAAATAGTGTATGCTGGTTATGTATCGCCGGTGCGACAAAATCTACGCTCCGCTGACGCGCCTTGACTGACTTTAGTGGGTGACGACTGTAACCCTTCAATAGTTCCGCGTTTTGATTCCCTACGAGGTCACATCAGCTCAATCCGTTCCATTTCAGAAGTTTTCCGAAGTTCGATTCAGAAAGCATGTCACGACCTCCACCACAGCCAATTTTCGTGCATCGTGGCTTGGAAGGTGGAGCGACTTCATGTGCAGTTGTCAGTACATCAAATGGTTCTGGCATTTTGGTTGGCACTGGCAAAGGCCGATGTGAATTATATGATTCCGACACGCACGTTCATATCCGGACTGTATACGGTATTTGTTTTTCAATTCGTTGTTAGAACAACTCAAGGCTGTGTTCATACTTCGCGACTCGAGCGCTCCATTCGCGCGACTGCCACGTAAAGCGCTCTACGGCTAATTGTTGGACCGCAGCAACCCCATTCGACCGCTCTATTCTGATTGGCGCGGCAGTTGCAACGGTCCAACCACTAGCGGTAGAGCGCAGTCATTCACATTCGCACGGCTCACGTCACGAAATATGAACACGGGCGCTGTTTAGCGACGGGGGGGGCATTTTGTACTAACATTGCTTCCCTAGTTCCGGTTTACGAATCTCACCATGGTAAAACTTGTGAACGCCTGTGAAGCTGGAGTAAGATCGTCTAGCCACCATCCCAACTCGAGAAAAAAATGCTCGAAAAAATAAGAATAATGAGCCTCGAGTTTGCCTGCAATGTCTCCCTTTCAGTTGACGCAAGGAGAACCTAGCGATTTTTCGTCGAGGACTGAATGATACTTTTATGTATGCTGTACGAAATCATGCTGTCATAATACTTGGCGCTGATGGTGTTCCCTGTGTGACATTGCCTACTTCTCATTGTGGTTACTGTAGGACGATTGCTATTGGTGAATGGCTCGTTTACCCAGACACAATTAGAAGTTGGATTTTTTGGAACGGGGAACGGTGAATGTTTCTTTCCATGTGAAGCTCAGAACATGTAGCTCGACATGTTGTAGAACGAACAGCATTACATGAGATTCTGGTCGAGATCGCTCGAAGTGCGAAAGAGACGACGTCACCTTAAAAGCTCTTCCTCTTTCAATCACTTCTGCCGAAGATTCGATTTGTGGCGAGAACGAAGCAAGGCAACTTTGCCAAGAGGATTTTTCATGAGAGTACGCCGTTTGAAGAAGAGAGTACGTCATTGAGGACTAAGAACTTTGACCTGACATTGGGAAGATTCCAATAATCAATAAAAACTAAGAAGAAGAAACAAGAAAGAAGGGAAGAAGAGAAAAAACGGCTCACTTATGCCATTCTGCAGCAGTTGTCAGCAAAGCAAAACGTTTATGCTCTGAAGTACCAAAAAAATATCGAATTTTCAGAATTCCCCTCCCCCTTTCCTTGAGCCGATAATGGGTCACTGATGTTAAGCAACTTGTAATTACCAAGTGCGCTGTCCTGGGAACGCTGTCCGGTGGCCAAATCAGTTCGTGCTCAGGCCAAAGCCTTCTACCCTCCAGAGACGCTGAATTGTTACCAGATTCGTGGAAGGATAAAACACTGACTTGCCCCCCCCCCGCAAGCCGTTGTAGTGGCCTTTTCGCATTCAATATGCCACTACGATTCTGAATGAAAGCAAATGCATGGCGCATTTCAAAAAGGGAGTGATCAGTGGCGAAGACTTTATTCTTACTATTTGAAGTGAAGGATTACTTGCCACAGAGACTAGTCTCCACATCAAATTCTCAGTCGTTGACAGGTATCACTGTTCTCTGAGCCCATCTTCTGCGTAGCATCGTCGTCGTCCTCGGTGGCATGTGGATCATCGAAGCCGCCTATCGTACTCCTTCCTGTCAACGACATTAATGGCGATCGCAGGAAAGTCAGCTATCCACCATGGTTCGTTTTTTTCACATACCACTTTTTGCACGGGGAAATGAGGTGTTCTTGAAAAGTAATACTGACTCATAGGCATACCCGACGTGGGCAGTACAGGCGGAGAAAAGAGCGGAGGCAGCCAACATTATGCACATTCCACAATGGTCGGGTGGGCGGGGATCCGCAGTCGTTGCACTTTTCCCATTAGTCTTCCCCTTTTTCTAACAGTTCTGAGAGGCGGTAAAAAAGAGATTGAGCATAGTGGCTGATCTACTATTTCCACGTCCATTCATTGTGCGATCAGCCTATTGACAACTGATGTAATCTGGCTACCGATAGATCGGACGAGCTGTGGGCAGGCGTAAGTGTAGGATCGATCGCCGTTCGAAGGATGTCACTGATGGATGTCCATCTGGGCGCGTTGGTTTCGCTGGTCCCAAGCGGAGGGGTCATCGCCGTCGCTGGAAGGACGGTGTCGTATCAGTCTGAAAAAATTTCTCGGTGAGTGTTGCATTTTTATGTCCGGCAAATTGCTCCCTGCGACACGATTCCTAAGATGCCCTGATTCTTAAGATCTCAATGTGTATCGTGCAATACGTCTTTCCAGTTCACGTGGTGTTGGAAGTATGGCGTTTTCTACGTCTGGAAAGACGTTGATCGCCGGTTTCTGGGATGGATCGATACGGGCCTTTTCTGTACAGAAGCTGACTATTCTACTCTACCTCGACCTGCATACGGAAACGATCTCCCAGATGGTATGGAGCAAAGTGAATGGCGAGGATCGATTAATCGTCGGGTCTATGGATGAAAAGTTATCAATTTGGAAGTTGAAATAATTATAATAAATATATAATGTACAGTAATCGTTCGCCGGTAGAACTACCAAGTTAAAAGCAGTGGGCACGATGGCTGGGGCGGGCGGTTGCTGCCAACGTCATTGGTGGAAGGGCTGCGAGAGGCGTTTGGCCACACCCCCACTCAGCCCTTCCACCAATGACGTTGGCAGTAACCGCCCGCCCCCAGCCATCGTGCACGCTGCCTTTAATTGTGGATAAACACAATACAAGTCGCTTAAACGCAGAATGCATCAGAAGAAGATGACGCCATGGTGTTTGTCAGGATGCGCCGTGCATTAAGCCTCCCTCCAGGATCGCAGTGGCCTCAAATGTCTATTTGGCCCATGCACTGACTTTCGGGGGACAAGCGTTGTGCACATCAGTGTTTTGTCCTGGTATCCAGTATGCCTGATCACCTTCCCACGAAAGAGGAAGGTTTGGACAGCCTGAGCGGGATTCAGTCGAGAACGTGGTCTTCAAAGCTACCCCTTTATGAGCAGGCCACGTTCTGCCGTTGAGGATTTTCAAAAAACTGACCTCACATACTAGACCTCCCCCATCTTCGGAAAACTGTGAAAAGTTGGTAGGTTGGTAGGTAGGATGGG